TCCCACACTCCTTTGCCCCCTGCCAGAGGAGGACAAGGACCTCAGAGTACTTGTCCCTCAGAAGGGACCTCAGGGACTAAGGAACTTGAAGCAGAAAAAGACCCCTGGGCCGCAGCTCCCTGGGTCAAGAGATGGAGAAAGGAAGCCCGGCATAGGGCTTGTAGCCAGCCACACAGAAGCCCTGTGATCTGTGCCTACACCAAGCTGTAGCTCCTGCACCCCGCTTTCCCTGAGGACAGGCCCTGCCCCTATCTTGCTCCATGAACCTATGGTTTATGAGGGCCAAATGGAGAAGCACCCTCACCCAAGAACTAAAAATAGCAACACCATCTTGGAGACAGAAAGAGCTGGATTGAGCTCTGTCCTGCCTCTGGCCTGTGTGACTTTAGGGCAGAAACTTGACCTTCCTGATTCTCACAATCCTCATCTACACAATGGGGACAGCACTATCTCTATCAGCAGGTTGACTGTAAAGATTTACCCATATAAGACTATGAAGCATTGTTGAGTACATATTTTTTACTGAAGCCCCAGTACCTAGTGAGTGATGCGGCATCACTGTTGTATCATTGGACCTAGCACAGCACTGTGAGTGGCAGCCCTGCCACCCTTCCCCACTCTCCACTAGCCCTGCCCCTAGAAGCCCAGGGAGGGGCTTCCAGGCATGCCAAGGGTACCTGGCCACTCCATGACTCTCACAGCCCACTATAGGAGGAGTAGCTGTGACTCCGAGAGCCAGGGAGAGAGATGAGTGGCTGGTAGCCCAAAGCTGGCTCAGCAGTCCTATCCCCAGCCCTCACTCCCTTTGGATTTGTGTATATCTGAACCCTCAGAGAGGCTGGGCAGGCTCCTGTGAGACATGTCACTGCAGCATGAGTGTAGAAGCCAGACAGAGAAGGATCTCAAGCAGCAGGCACGAGTGCCCGGAGCACTGAAGCAGTGAAGAGAAGCCCTGGGGAATGGTGAGATGCTTCCCTACCAAGCTGGGCCTTCCTCAGAATGCTTCCCTGGGGAGGGCCTGGCCCATTAGCAGTGCAAGTCTGGGTGTCCCCCCAGCCCACTACCCAGCCCCACACTCACAGGCGACTGAGCCGAGGAGTGAAATGGAAGGCTTCTGGCGCCACGAAACGGAGACCACTCTTCACGATGGTGCTGGGGAGGAGTGTAGAGGATCAGCCCTGGGTGCTCAGCTATGTATCCTGAGCCCTGGTCTCTCTGCCCATCCTGGTCCTAGGATTCTAGGGCTGAGCTCTGCACCTCTCCTCAGCCCTCTTAGTTTCCAAGGCTATCTGAACCTCTGGACCCCTGAACTTCCTGATCTCCACCCCCAGCCCTTCGGTGCTCAGCCTCTCAAGTCCTTCCAGGCTGACCTTTTGGGCCTTAGGGCCCAAGCCCCAGCCCCACCCCACACAGCCCTTAGCTCCTCACAGGTTTCTTAGTTCCCCCAGGCCCTGCAGGTCACGGAGCTCCAGATGCTGCAGATGATGCTGGTTCTCCACATAACTGTGGGGATAAGGGGTAGTTATCAAAGAGGTCATCCCCCACTTGAATTCCCAGGTCCCCAACTCCCTCACAATAATACATGCACATCTGTGTGCATGCACACATGCATACATAGACCCACTTGCACACTTATACATGCACAGATACAGATGTGCATGCATATACAGAGACACCTCATAAATTGTACACACATGCATCCATGCATTCTCACAACTTCATGCATGTGAACACATATATTCCTCCTGTACCATACACACCCAAGATGCATATACACACAAAGAGGAAAAAACAGATGCCCAGAAATGCTACTGCTCATGCACATTCATGCTTGCACACATGCATGGAGGAATAAGTATGTGTGCACAGATGGAGGCTGATATCCTCACATATGAACACACATAGGCAAAGCTCACATATACCTCTCACAGGCATACACATGCACATGCGTGGGAAATGTGCACACACATTCATACCCACACACCAATCTCTCCTAGGTTTCATTCTCTGCTCTATCCCAGGCCTCCCCGCACATGCTCCACATTGGGATCCATGCTGAAACACCTGCTTCCACAAAGAGCCCAGGCTTATCACTGCCACTGCCCCACCCAGCACAAAGGAAGCCTTGTACTTACAAATATGTGTGCTCCCAAAAATGCCTGCTCAGGGGCCATTCTCAGGCCTCATTCACACGGACACATACACATGCGTGCACACACATGCATACACACACCCTACCTACTCTGCCACTGCAAAACCTCTGGCCCCTGCCCACATCGAAGCAGCAACCTTCACACACACCATGCTTTCACAGAGCAGGCATAATGCCGAGAGGCTACCAGCTAGAGAAAGAGAACCCAGATTCTCCCTGCCCATGAGGGATGCTAGAAGGGGAGATTAAGAGGATGGCACTAGAAGAGGTGGGGTAGGGATTGGCAAGGACTGGCTGGCTTACACAGGATGAAATGGGAAGGATGAATGCAGGAGACAAAAAAAAAAAAAAAAAAAAAAAAAAACCAAAGAGTAAGACATAAAGAAAAAGAATCCAATAGGAAGAGACTGGCAGAGAAAAAGAGGATGGCAAGGAAAAAAGACAGATAAGGAGAGAAACACAAAGACAGCCAGAGAATACAGGGAGGCAAGAAAGAAAAGCAAGGAGGCCTGGGGGTGCTGTCGGCTGGTCCTGCCTGGCCACTGGATCTGGCATGCAGGGAGTTCCTGAGAACTCAGTTGTCCTGCAGTGGCACGTTGGTGTGTAACACACACACACATGCACACCCTGACTCACTGCCTGCTCTCAAAACTCCCTCTCTACCTTTGGATTTTCCCCTAAGTAAGGACTAAATAATGAAGCATAAAACACCCATTTCCTCCCCCAGCTGTGGCCCCAAAAGAACAGCCAGGTGTCAGGTCTCAGTCCCCTAAGGTGTGGCTCTGAGGAGGGCAGGTCCTTGTTCTACCTGATACTCCCCAGCCCCTACCAGGAATGTTTCAAGCTCTCAGGACTCTAGGAGATGGCGACACTGGATGGCCAGCTGCATGTGTACAGCTGTCAGGCACTGTGCTCAAAACTGCCTCATTCATTTGGATTCATAATCAATCTGTCTATTCGAGTCCATTATCTCCTTGTTAGCCCCTCGGGTGAGGGAGGAGAGAGGGGGCTGTGCAGGAGGAGGTGAGAGGGGTCAGGCTGTTGCCCCACCTACAAGGACATTTCAGGCATTGGGCCCTCTAGTCCCAACCCTGGCTTGTCAGCTCCCCTCTCACCAGGCTGGACATACTTGAGGCTTGAAAAGGGACTGGGAAAGTATACTGATGGAGAGCAGTCAGGAGCCTGGTCCCTAGCTTAAAGGCCCTGGATGATAAATGGACAGGGCCCGGGGTGACAGCTCAGATCCCATGTCTCCCTGAAGCAGAAACCTAGGCCTCCAACAAGACAAGACTGTCTCCTCTCCTCCTGGTCTCCCTGGGGCCATTAGAGAGAGATATTGAGTACCTTCCCGTTAATTACCACAAGATGCCCGAGTAACTCAGTGCCAATTATTGCAGGCTGCTCAAGTAACTTCCAGACAGTGACAGCCCCCACCTTGGATTCCTTCCAGCAAGGTTACTGCCCACCCGCTAACTCCAGATCAAAGAATGGAGATCTTTCAGCAATTCCTCCCTTCTTTTAGAAGTCCTGCTGGCCCCACCAGCCACACAGAATACTCAAGTCTTTCAGCCACTTCTACATGACGCCTGAGTACCTCTAGGCCAATTATGACAGCACACTCCCATAGGTTTCACCAGCTGCTACAAAGTACTTGAGTATTTTTTAACCAATGATTGCAGAATGCCAGAGCACTGCAGCACGCTGGAGATGCCTCCCAGCTTTGGATCTGGAAGGGAGGAGACTCTCTCAACAATGGCTCTGACTCCCTAATCCAAGAAGGAAAACAAGGATGGAAAGGGAGATGAAAGTGGAGGGAAAGAAACCATAAGGGAGTCCCATTTCCACATCCAAGTCAAGGGGCCCTGGGGCCAAGGGATGGTGGAAATGGGAGAGAGCTCAAGCACCTAGCGATGGCTCCTCACCAATTCCAGTTCAATTCCCCAGCCAAGGGGGGGAAACTAGAGGTGCTTAGCCATGAAAAGGAAGGAACTGGGGGCTAGCTTCCTCCTGGTAAAGGGAAAAACCTAAGAGTACAGCATTGAGGGGGTTTTCGCAGCTGACCTCTCCCCTCCATAGGGCAGAGAGCTCCAGAAAGGGGCTCTGTACCTCTGGGCTCCTCAGACCTGATCCACAGAAATCCTCTCCTCACTCTACCCAGAACCAGTGTCTCAGCTGCCCCTGCTTTAGGTGACATCCAGATGGGGGGGGGGGGGTCCGCTGGACCAGCAGCAACAGCCAAAGAAACTAGCTGCGTGATACTGTCCTTGGGCGCACCGCCTGACCCAGCTAGCAAGCAGCCGGCCCGCGGCTTCGGGGGCAGGGCTGTGCCCTCCTGTCACCGCGCTCCCTCGCCCCCTTGGACACTCACAGCTCTGTCAGGTTCTCGGCGCCCGGCAGTTGGCGGAGGCTATTTAGTGTCGAAGCCCTGGTGCAACGCAGCCCCGAGGGACTGAAGGGGCAGCAGACATCAGGGCAGGACGTGGCGCCCACAGATGCTAGCATCAGCCAGGGCAGCAGGTTGCCCAGCACGGTGGCTCGGCAGTGCCAGCGGGCCTGCCCGCGACGTCTGCCTCGCAGCATCGCGCGGTCCGCCTGCCCGGCCGGCGCCTTCCGCGCTCTCAGCAGCAGCCGCTGCTCCCCTACACGTGCGCAGGCGGTGTTAAAGACCCGAGGGCGGAGGGGCGGAGCCACCTGCAGCCCCGCCCCGCCCTGGCCAGCTTCTCCCCGGATGTCCCCTCTCCTCAGAGTGCCGCGGGTGTCCTCGGGGAGTGGGGAGTCTTTGACAGTTGATGTGTTATTTCTCTCAGCGGGAAGCGGCTGCAGTTTTAGACTTTGCGGGAGGGAAGAAGTGGAGCTCAGGAAAGAGTCCAGTTCAGGTCATCCTAGGCGGCCTGCACCGATGACCCGCTTGCAGAAGGAGTGTGCCTGTCTCTTGGAATCAATCAGGTGAAGCATTCTGACCTAGTGAAATGAGGAGACTACCCAGGAGGACTGAGCGCAGAAGGGAGAAAGAGGAGTGCCCTCAACAGCTGCAGGTCGACCCGGGAGTGGGACCCTTGGCGCAGAAGGCCACTGGGTGGCGCTCGAGACCCGCCCAGAGGTGGTGCTAGCCTTGGGGCTGCGGAGGGCGCAGGCCACACCCCGGCCGCTGCGCCTGGGGCGCAGGGCCAGACCCCAGGCAGCCTGCGGGGCCCGGGGCGAAAGGGACCAAGCCGAGCAGGGCTGGCATCGATCGCCGTCCTGACAAGAGCATCGATCTCTGCGCGCGGAAATTAATAGATCTTCGCTTAGCTCTTCGGACGCGAGTGGAGCGGGGATGGCGGCCCCCCGGAGAGCCTGGCCTCCCCAGCACCCAAAGCCCTGAAGGGCAGGCCCAGCTCTCCCAGCCACGGGCCTCGTGGCCGCAAGAGCCCATCGGTTCGAATCGAGGAAAGGGAGCAGCGGGGTCCTGGAGTAGGACTCTCGGGAAGGGTCGAAGTGGGCCGGGGTCCAGGGGTGACAGTCCTCAGCGCAGAGGGTCTCCAAGTCCCCGACAGCCCAAACGAGCAGAGAGGAGAGAGCTGGGGCCACAACGATAGTCCCTTGCGGCGATGTGGGTAGAAACCAAGGGACTTGGTGGAGACAAGGCCTCGAGCTTATCGCCCACGGACAGGGTGGCCTTCTGAAGCTGAGAGGGGCTCCAAGGGGCAAAGGGCTTGAAAACACAGGCGCATCTATGTTCTCGCCTGGTTTCCACAGCGGGCTCCGTGAACCCAGGTCGAAGATGCCGCCCCCCAGGCGTCCAGGCACCTGTTGGCAGCATTTGGAGCCCACTCCCAGGAAAGAGACCCGAGTCTGACAGCTGTCACCTGGGAGAAGCCCGCCAAGGGTGCCGGCAGAGGGTCCGGCCGCGAACCTGGGTGGGAGAAGCAGCTCCTGGCCGACCCTCCCCACTGAATTTGCCCTTATTTCCCCAACAGACATGTCCCCCTTCAGTTGTCAGGCTAAATATTTTGGCTTGGCGGGAGGGGCGGAGAGAACTGGGAAGTCCCACAAACTAATTCGCTCCAATGGGGGCGGGGAGGAGCAAGCTGGGCGCGGCCGCTGCGGGGAGCCGGCCGCCTGCCCACCGGCCTGGGAGACACAGCCTGAGCGCCCGAGACATGCGGGAGGCTCTCCTCTGTCCCGCTGGCACCTACAGCGCTTCTGGGGCTCTCCTCCTCCTCGGGCTGGCGGCCTTCTCTCGGCCTGCCTTCGCTCTGAGCCCTGTGCTACTTTGTTTCTCTGGAGGCCTCTCTGAAGTCCTCACTGCTCTGTCCGCAACTCTATCCCCGTCTCTCCGGCTCTGGATCCACATTAAGTCTCAGTCTCCAACTGCCCTATCACTGACTTTGTATCTGTGATTTTCCTTTCTTTTTTGTTTCCTCCCATCACCGCCACGCAGTGTTCCTAATTGCTGTCCCTGGCTGCACTCTCCTTTCCAGAGTGTGAGCCTCTGCCTCCCTTACCATTTCTCAGACCCTTCTCCTAAGAGGCACCTACAAGACAGCCAGGACTGGACGCAGCCCAGGACGGGGCCATGGCCAGGCCCAAGCTGTGGCCCTGGGGAATATTACTACTTGTGAGCCTCCTCTCTGCAGGATTTAACCTGGATACAATGAATGGTGAGTTCTCAGCCCTGTCTCCCTGACATCCCACCACCACTTCTCCCTCCCAGACAGCTGGGAGGCCACAAGCTAAGCCTCCAGACAGTCTACTTTTTGATATGACATGCAGAATGAGGTTAGCTCTCAAAAGGACTTCCCACCAGACAAAACAGTTAGTTGCCCACATAAAGGAGTTTTTCCCTCAGCCCTATAGGAGGTAAGGACTTAGGAGGATGAATAGATGCCCTCTACTCCATTCCTCCTTGTGAAATGATGATCCCAGTAAAGCCTGGGTTAGAAATAGGATGAGACTATGTTAGAGGTCATTTTTAGGGCCACCAAATGAGAAGAGACAAGTCTGGGGCAGGTAGCTGAGAAACAGCGCTGTTAAGATAGGAATTGGAGGCTCAGAGAAATGAGCAATAAACCTGGAATGAGCCCCAAACTCCTGTCCTATGTCTTTTGCCTTCAGGGCCATTCTCTGTGGGGGAGAGGGCTTATTTGGTGGGGTGCCACCTTCCCTCAGTGCCCAGATAGACACTTCCACCAAGCGTGGGGTTTGGAAACGTCATGGGACCTGGTAGACCAAAGATACTAGTGACTTAGTGGACAAAGGAAAGAAAAGCAGAGGGGGGACATTCAAAAAGGGAAAGATTGAGTGGTGTCCCCTTCCCTAATTCCACCATCACTTCAGACTGGGGGTGCTCAGAAATCCAACACTACCAGTCTGAGAATGGAGCTTCTGTTCTTGGGGCAGTCTCTCCTTCCTACACAGGCAGGGTGTTGGTGCAGCTGGGGTGGGTTAGGGGTGATAGTCTCAAATTCTTTGCCTGGAAAGCCTATCCCCTCACATAGAGCCCCTGCCTTTGCCCCTCCACAATGTACCAGCACAAAGCACAATAGATGCCAGCCAGGAACACAGTTGTCAAGACAGAAGCATGTCCCTGGAAGAGGTCAGTGTTCAGGGGACCCAGCTGTCCTGTTCCCAGTGCAGCTGAGCATAGACCCTGAGGGAAGGCAGGGGTTAATTTGCAGAGGTTTTAGATTTGTTTTTCCAAATGACTCCCATCAGGGGAGCCCTGGAGAGGCAAGGGCCTGATGGGAAGTGGGCGCCTGAGAGAACCCCCATCCACCTTGCAAAGCCTGATTGGCTTTCTCCTGGAGGAGATGGAAATGTTTTCTCATTCTCTCCCTCTCTTGTGTACATGGGAACCTGCCTGAACTGAGATGCATGCATGCTCACTCGCGCGCGCACACACACACACACACACACACACACACACACACACACACAAAGCTGCCAGGCAAAGCTCAGAACCATCAGTGACAACTGGGAGATGTGCCTGGCCCCTGCCCCAACCTGGAAGGGCCTGAATAATGTGGTGTATGTGATGTTGTTGGAGTGCCAGGTGGGAAGGGAGTACACAGAGGCTGGAGAGGCAAGCTGGACCTGAACATCAGGCTAAACAATTCAGGTTTGGCTAGGGATTTAGCTCAGGGGCCCAAGCATCTGCCTGGCAAGCACAAGGTCATGAGTTCGATCTCCAGTACCAAAAAAAAAAAAAAAAAAAAGAATTCAGGTTTGCAGCTTCTGCAATGGGAGGCCGTGCAAGGCCCCCCTTAGGAGCAAGTGAAGTCAGGCATCCAGGCCCCCAAAGAAGATAGTCCTTAGTGTCTTGGAGAACAAAAGGGAAAGCAGGTGGGGCTCTGGGTCTGAGGAAACCAGGCCTACATGGGCCCTCAAAGGAAAAGTGGATTTGGGATCCAGATGTCCTTGGTCCACAGTCCCTGAGTGCCCATGATTCTAACCCTGGACTGGGCACCATGGCAGATACAGAGCCCAGTCAGGTAGGTCCTGCCCTCCTTGGCGGGGGTGGAGAGCAGTAATGGGGATGTAGGTAACAGTGAGGGGGCAGCGCCCCAGATAAGCTTGTGGCTAGCACAGGTGGCCTAAGTGCACAGAATCAGAAACTCTCTGTACAGGGAACTGAAGTACAAAAACACTGAGGCAGGAATTTGGGTGGCTTATCTGAAGGGCAACAAAGAGGTCAGAACAACCAAAAAAAGAGAGAGAAAAGCTCACTGGTAGAAGTAAGACTACCTAGGGGCTGGGGATTTAGCTCAGCAGCATAAGTACCTGCCTTGCAAGCAGGCAGTCGTGAGTTCGATCCCTGGTACTGATAAAAAGGAAAAAGACAAAAAAAAAAAAAAAAAAAAGTAAAACTACCTTATCTGGAGTGAGATGGGAGCCATGGAGGGTTCAAGCCGAGGAGCAGCACGATCCAACTGTGTTTTGAGAAGGTCACTGTGGTTTCAGAGTGAGGAACTCTCCACAGAGACAAGGTGAAGTGGGAGGCAATTGGGAAGCGGTACTATAGACTCAGAGGAAGACCTGTGGAGACAGAAGGTGGTGACAAGCAGTCGGGCTCCATGCACACAGGACTTGGAGAGAAACAGGAGTCAGGGGTGAGCAGGACTTTGGGAATGAGGCTGCTGTTCACTTTGAAGGGGAAGCAGACTTGAGAGAACAGACTGAGACTCCCTTTTCCCCACAGTGACATACTTAGCAGCAGCCCTGCAAGGTGCAGATGCACCCTCTGGGGAACAGAGAAGAGGAGTCCATCCCTCACCCAGAGCAAAGCCTGTTTCCCCATCCAGTATCCTCTGCCAGAGTGGCTCTCTCCCTAGTGCTGACAGGGCGGGATGGGTACTCACATCTTGCATCATATGTACCCACAGTGTGCCCCAGCCTGGACATCCGCTCCGAGGTAGCAGAGCTGCGGCGGCTGGAGAACTGTAGTGTGGTGGAGGGCCACCTGCAGATCCTACTCATGTTCACAGCCACAGGGGAGGACTTCCGCAGCCTCAGCTTCCCACACCTCACCCAGGTCACTGACTACCTGCTGCTTTTCCGAGTTTATGGCCTAGAGAGCCTGCGTGACCTCTTCCCCAACTTAGCAGTGATCCGTGGTGCTCACCTCTTCCTGGGCTATGCGCTGGTCATCTTTGAGATGCCACACCTGCGAGATGTAGGGCTGCCTGCTCTCGGGGCTGTACTGCATGGGTCTGTGCGTGTGGAGAAGAACCAGGAGCTCTGCCACCTCTCCACCATTGACTGGGGCCTACTGCAGCCCACGCCCAGCACCAACTACATTGTGGGCAACAAGCTGGGTGAGGAGTGCGCAGATGTGTGCCCTGGCACACTGGGCGCTGCTGGCGAGCCCTGTGCCAGGACCACCTTCAACGGGCACACCGACTACCGATGCTGGACCTCCAGCCACTGCCAGCGAGGTGGGCGCTGGCACAGAAAGTGACAGGGGAATGGGGAACCAGGGCCTGGTGGGGCTAGGCTGCCACAGGAAGGCATGGGTCAGTCCTTTACTATCACTGTTTTGTAAATACTCCCTTATCCAATGAGATAGGTACTGCTGTAGAAAAGGAATCCGAGGCTCAGAAAAATTTAGTAACTGACATAGCATAAGGCAGTCAAAGAGTAGGTACAAGAAGCATCAGGTAGCCAGGGGGTAAAAGGCATGCAGAAAAAAGTAGGCACAAATGAACAGGAAATGGCACAAAACGTATGGAGCACTGACTAAATTCAGAGCTAGGCAGTCTGCGTTCAAGTTTCAGCTCCATGCTTATTGGTTGTTTTCATTTAGCTCAGAGCAGTTTCCTGCTCTTAAAATGCCCATAAGGTTGTTATGAGGGACGAGTTATTTTACAGAGCATCACAACAGCCAGGGCCATGGCAGTGGTTCTGTTCCCCATAAAAGCCACTTGGCAAGGTGGAAAGGGTGAGCTGGCAGTACTGCCATGAGGCGATGGGGCACCAAGTATGGGAAGAAAGGAGGAGGTGATGGATGGAGAGCTGGACAGGTAAGGGCAGACAGTGAGCCGGATCTTTGGGAAATGAGATTCATGGAAGCTGAGGAAGGGAGAGGGGAGGCAGTGATGGCTGGAGCAGGTGAAAGTTTCAGGGAGAGAAGGAAGATCTTTCAGAAGCTGGGAGTAGATCTGGGGTCCCCAGTCTGGGAGTCCTTTCCACACTGCTCTTAGAGGTCAGCTCCTGTCACCTCCACTGCCTCAGCATTGAGGCAGGAGAGAGAGTAATCAGATCCCTGCTGTATCCAGAGCCCATCCCAGCGTGCCTCCCTGTTGGCTGTAAACACAGCTGCTGCAGTCCACCCTGTGTACACTGTCAACAGGCCCTCCTGACCCCACCCTCCACACAGCTCCCAGGCTTCCAGCTGCCACTGTTTCCAGCCTATTGAACCCCTAGCCCCAGACCCATGCTCTGCTGCTGGGTGCCCCTCTTTGCCCAGGGAAGGGAGCTGGGAGGGAGGCAGTATGTGTAGGGATGTAGTGAGACCACACTGACACCGGTCTCCCCGCAACAATGATGTGAGCACCAAATCAGCAGTAACCCTGACTGCCAAGCTCACCTCTCTGCCCCACTCCTCACACAGCCATCACCACCCTGTTAGGCACTGTGAGAGTAGGGAAGCCTGGTCCTCAAGAATCCCTCAGGTCCCATCAGCCACCTGTGCCATCTGAGTTGAAGGGATGTGGGCACAGACTGACAGCATCCTCCCCGGAGGGGTGGGTGTCAGGGCTGAGGGATGTGAAGGGATCTAACACAGCATTGTGCCCACAGTGTGTCCCTGCCCCCAAGGGCTGGCCTGCACGATTAGCGGCGAGTGCTGCCACACCGAGTGTCTAGGGGGCTGCAGCCAGCCCGAAGACCCTCGTGCCTGCGTAGCCTGCCGCCACTTTTACTACCAGAGCGCCTGCCACCGGGCCTGCCCTCTAGGCACCTACGAGCATGAGTCTTGGCGTTGCGTCACAGCCGAGAGCTGTGCCAACCTGCGCTCTGTGCCTGGCCGCGCCTCCACCTTTGGTATCCACCAGGGCAAATGCTTGGCCCAGTGCCCTCCAGGCTTCACCCGAAATGGCAGCAGGTAAGCATAGGATGAGTGGGGACCTCGGGGCTGTGAGGAGGCCACACATATTCAAAGCTCACAGTGTCTGCTTGCCCTGCCAGCATATTCTGCCACAAGTGCGAGGGACTGTGCCCCAAAGAATGCAAGGTAGGCACCAAGACCATAGACTCCGTCCAGGCGGCACAGGATCTGGTGGGCTGCACCCACGTGGAGGGGAGCCTCATCCTCAACCTTCGCCGGGGCTGTCAGTAACCCCTCCCGGCACGCCCTCCCTCGAGCCACACCCTCAAGCCACACCCTAACCACGCCTTCTCCCGGCCACGCCCCTCCCGCCGCACTCCGAGCGACGACCACCTCCCATAGCGCCTCTCCCTCAGCTTGCATCCAGCTACCCTCCTGCCCTAAGAGCACCTCTCCTGCTTCTACTCCACTTTTGTCTTCTTCATCCTCAGACAACCTGGAGCCAGAGCTGCAGCGCAGCCTGGGACTGGTGGAGACCATCACTGGCTTCCTCAAAATCAAGCACTCCTTTGCCCTCGTGTCCCTGAGCTTTTTCAAGAACCTCAAATTAATCCGAGGGGACACCATGGTGGATGGGTAAGTGATTAGCATCAGACTTCTGACTAGGGCCTCTTCACCATTACACTCCCCAGAACAATAGTAAAAAGAAGGGGCTCTGAAATCAGTTCTGCTACTTACTAGCCCTGTTACTCTGGATGGATTCTTTGGTCCTCAGTTTTTCGTCTGTAAAATGGGCCTCTTTCATCGTTACTTGGGGATCTTGTGAATATTACATAACTCATTACGTTTAAAACACTTAGTGTGTGGAACACAGTATATACAATGAAAAAAATTGGGTATTTTTTCTGAGACACGGCCTTGCTATGCAGTTCACACTGGCCTTGTATTCACTATGTAGCCCGTGCTGGCCTCAAACTCAAACCAATCCTCCTGCCTCCATCTCCCAAGTGTGTCATAGCTATAAGTAACTCTAAAAATTGGCTTTAATTGTTATTATCTGGTCCACTCCATTCCAGAGTAGGAGGTTTGAAACCTGTTCCTGCTGTCCACAAGGCCAGGTCTACCCCATATAGCTGATATTTTAAAAACATTTTTAAAAAGATTTTAAATTGCACTGGATGAAGGGATCTCCTGTGGCTTTTCTGCTCTTCCACCCAGCACATTGTCATGTCCCCCTGGGGTGCCTGCCCCAGCTGGAGAGGCAGTGCCCAAGGATGAGTGTCAGCCCTCCCAGTGTCCCCAAAGCCAGCAGAGTCTGGCATATACATAGCATGTGCTCGTAAAAGTGAGATGAAGGAAGGAATCGAGGAAGCTGTTCACTCCTTTCGCTAACAAGAGAAGCTGGGTAGCTTGCTGGGCATCACGCATCTGGTCAGTGGCAGGAGGCAGGTGTGCCCGAGCCCCACCCCCGCGTGCGAGGTGTGAGTGGCTGCGGAGTGGCCCTCCCTGTGCCCTGCACAGACCCTCGGCGGCAGGAGCCCAAAGTCACGGTTTCCCATACCCTACCTCGCCCTCCCCGGAGCTCTGCCCACCTTCCCCGCAGCGCAAGGTCCCCTGGCCTCCCCTAGGAACTACACGCTGTACGTGCTGGACAACCAGAACCTGCAACAGCTGGGGCCCTGGGTGTCCGCGGGACTAACCATTCCCGTGGGCAAGATCTACTTCGCCTTCAATCCGCGTCTCTGCTTGGAGCACATCTATCGTTTGGAGGAGGTGACTGGCACTCGAGGGCGGCAGAACAAGGCAGAGATCAACCCGCGCACCAACGGAGACCGCGCAGCTTGTGAGCCTCTTCCCAGAGCCAGGACGCCCTCGCTGGGACCCCTGCACACCCAGCTTCGGGCTCGGACTTCTGCGCCCAGGAATGCGCCGCGCGCCTCCAACACCGGCGGGAGGGGCCCAAGGGTACAACCCTCTGGGATACACGGGTTCAACATGGGCTCGTTGGAAGCAGATGTTATCGCTCGCCCCGCCCAGGCCAGACGCGCACCCTCCGCTTCGTGTCCAACGTGACAGAGGCCGACCGCATTCTGCTACGCTGGGAGCGCTACGAGCCACTAGAGGCCCGCGACCTGCTCAGCTTCATCGTGTACTACAAGGAGTCGTGAGTAGGGGCAGGGACCCTCTAGAGAGCTGGGACAGAGCGGGAAGCAGGGCAGGCGCCCAGCGTGGCTATGGAAAGCCAGGATTTTAGGATCTCCTAGTCACATTCCATTCTAGGGTCCCGGTCTGGCTTTCTCTCATCTTCTTCGTCTTTCTGTGCCTCAGTTTCCCCTCACCAAGTGAAGTGGAGAGGTCAAGGCTTCTGAGAGCAAGATAGTCCTGCTGAGAAAGCTTAAGTAATTAAACTTCAATTCACTATGTTAATGTTCCATGGTGACCACATGGTTCTGTCTCAGCAGCGGTTTGGGGAGTGCCCACTAATTTGGCCAGTTTTGTGAGCAGCTCTGCCAGCATTTCATTAAAGCCTGAGGAAGGGAGGGAGCAGGGCCCACCAGGGACTAGTGCTCTGTCTTTGGGAAGGGTGGACTGACCCGAGTAGGGGGAATAGTGGTTAGAATACTGGTTAAAGACTTCTTGAACATAAGGTGAGGAATCTTGGAGCACTCCTTAAAGGGAGAGAGGGATTTGGGTGGCAGACGAGGAGGACAGGAGTTAAGAGCACGCTCGGTGTCAGATAGAAGAGGGCCAATGGGTTGGAAGCATTGTTTGTGACTAAAACTGGGAATCTTAGTTGGTCACTAGCTCAGAACCAGGGCTAGGAGGAGGGAGAGGCATCAGTAGAGAGGAGGCCTGCTCAAAGGGGCAAGGCTCTTGTGGGCCTAGGTGGTAATTGACTGTGTCCAGCTCAGCGAGCTGGGCTGGACCCTCCAGACTCTGATGTGGTTAGTCTCCAGGGAGGCCTGCAACTCTGCCTTTCTAACAAGCTGGGGCTCATGGTCCATACTTTAAGGAACACTCACATGGACAACAGTGTGAATGCCTCTCTCTCTGCCTCCAGCACATGCAGCTCACAATCTGCATGATTGTCGCCAGCTGCCTCTGAGCTCTCAGGACAGTGAATCTTGAGGATCCTTTACAAGTTCCCCTAGCATCCTTCCTGTGCCACAGGCCATGGCTTACTCTCTCTTGAGCACATACTGTAGCTCCTGGCTCAAAGCAGGCACAGACCCACTCATTGTGTTATATCCTCCAAGACTTCTGTACCTACACACCTGCGCCTGGACTGTCCTACTTGAAGATCCCACCAAGGACAGACATATTTAGCTGGGATAAACTGCACCTGTAGTCTCGGGATTTACAGGCCTTCAGAGTCCATGCATGGGCCTAATTTAAGGCATGGTCCTAGGAGACTAGTCACCTGATTCTAGTTCCAGGTAGTCCCATTTGGAGGGTAGGGATTGGGATAACTTCTTTGCTTGCAGTTCTTAGAAAGAGGACCCAGAATTCATCTTCCAGTTTTACTTATGTAATGCAATTAATTTTTTTATATTCATTCATATTTCCTGCTAAAGATAAGAAGATATTTCATCATAAATTTGACTGGAGAGATTATTACAGGGTTCACAGGGTTTATCAGGTGGCTAAAATTGTTGCTCTGCCCTCATGCATAGTGGAAGAATGATGATCACAGTCCTGTGGTGATTTGGAGAGGTGGTAGGTAATAGAGACTGGAGATGGGTCACAGTCCTGGGGATGGGGTGTTCAGCCCATTCCAGAATGCCACGGAGCATGTGGGTCCAGATGCCTGTGGAAGCCAGAGCTGGAACCTGCTGGATGTGGAGCTGCCCCTGAGCCGCACCCAGGAGCCTGGGGTAATCCTGGCACCCCTCAAGCCCTGGACACAGTATGCAGTGTTTGTGCGGGCCATCACACTGACCACTGCTGAGGACAGTCCCCATCAAGGGGCCCAGAGTCCCATTGTCTACCTCTGGACCCTGCCTGCAGGTAGGCGTTTGGACAGAGCCAGAGCTAGATGATGGCCTCCTAATGAGAATGGGGGTGGGGGTCCTGGCATCAGAAACAGAATGGGAAACTCTACATGCCTGGCCACAGAGGCTGGGAGATCAGAGGCTTTTGTCCCATAAAAACTGCGGGAAGGCATTTGCCTAAGTCCTAGACAAATGAGGTTGGGCCAGTTTGATGAATAGCCAAGTGAACTTGAGGGCCTTTGGAGGAGAGAAGAGAATGCTGGATTTCTAGGAAGGGAGGTGGAAGGTCACCTATTCCTAGGGAGAATCGCAGGTGTACGCGAGTAAGTGGCTTATTACCAGACAACCTTCAGAGGGAAACCCACGCCCTAATTTGTTCTCCCTTCACATGCCTAGCGCCTACCGTGCCCCAAGATGTCATCTCCAGTTCAAACTCCTCCTCCCACCTCCTCGTGCGCTGGAAGCCACCCACCCAGCGTAACGGAAACATCACCTACTACCTGGTGCTTTGGCAGCGACTGGCAGAGGACGGCGACCTCTACCTCAACGACTACTGCCACCGCGGTGCGCAGTGTGGGGGCGCGCAGCAGGAAGGAGCAGGGAGGGCAAGCAGCCCAAACTCTGAACAACCTCCTCTGCTGGCCAGGCTTGCGGCTGCCCACCAGCAACCACGACCCGCGTTTCGACCGCGAAGATGGGGACCTGGAGGCTGAGCTCGAGCTAGGCTGCTGTCCCTGCCAGCACGCCCCTCCTGGGCAGGTCCTGCCCGCGCTGGAGGCGCAAGAGGCCTCCTTCCAGAAAAAGTTTGAAAATTTTCTGCACAACGCCATCACCATCCCCAAGTGCGGCCGGGCACGTGATCGGGACGGGTTCTGTGGGCGGGTCTAGCGAGGGGTGGGTCTCTACAGACCGGGCCCTGGAAGTAGGGGTCTGCCCTGGACGGTCCTGCGGGAGAGACCCCCGAGGGAGTGGGTCTGTGCAGATGGGGCCAGGGCTGTGGGCGGGCTTGGAGGTGGGGCTTGGCCGCGGAGAGCTGGGGGCGCGTTCCAGTTGGGACTGATAGGGCCTCCCTGGCCTCCCCAGACCCCCATGGAAGGTGACGTCCATCCACAGGAACCTCCAGAGGTGAGCCGGGAGTCGGGTAGGAGAGGTCTGGGCATCGAGAGGCGGGGCTCGGCGACCAGACCTAGACTCCTGACTTGCGGCCTCCTCAGGGACGCAGGGCGGCACCGCCGGGCTATCGGAAGCCCCAGACCAGGGGGCAACAGCTCGGATTTTGAGATTCAGGAGGACAAAGTCCCTCGAGAGCGAGCAGTGCTGGGCGGCTTGCGCCACTTCACGGAATACCGGATCGACATTCACGCTTGCAACCACGCAGCTCACATCGTAGGCTGCAGTGCAGCCACCTTCGTCTTCGCGCGCACCATGCCCCGCAGTAGGTGGCCCCCACACTTTCTGAGCCACCATTGATCCCAAGGACCCTCTCCAGTCAATGCCCTAGCTAGCTGATCTGACCTCATTCCAAAAAAAGTTTGAAAACTTTCTGCACGGCGCCATCACCACCCGTGAATTGCGGTGCGCACCCGCGGGTTGGGCCCAGAGGGCGTGGCCTCTGAGGGGCGTGCCTGTGGGTGGAGCGGGCCTGCGAGACCCAAACACAGACCTTCCTCTGCCACCTCTCCCTTTCCCATAATCCCAGAGTTTGGGTTCGAATCCTCGAGAAAGGAAACACTTGTGGCATGCTTCCCAGATGCCCCCTTCCTGCAGGAGAGGCCGATGATATTCCAGGCAAACTCTCCTGGGAGGCGGCCAGCAAGAGCAGTGTCCTCTTGCGTTGGTTTGAGCCACCTGACCCCAACGGACTCATCCTCAAGTATGAAATCAAGTACCGCCGCTTGGGAGAGGTAAGCACCATAGGGCACCCCCTTATCCTAGCCCTGTTTTGTCCTCTGCCCGGTTCCCAACCAGATCTTCTGTGCTACCTTCAGGAGGCCACGGTGTTGTGTGTATCCCGTCTGAGATATGCTAAAGTTGGTGGGGTCCAGTTGGCCCTGCTACCCCCTGGAAACTACTCGGCTCGGGTTCGGGCCACCTCACTGGCTGGCAATGGCTCTTGGACAGACAGTGTGGCCTTCTACATCCCTGGCCCAGGTACGCAGATTTGCATTTCCAAATAGCCCACCAGAGATCCCTCCACCACATCCCTCCTGTCTGCATCTCCCAGTGTTTAGAAAGAGGCACTTCTTCTCATGTCAGTCTTTGGCCTTACCTTCTGTCTTCTCTAACCATCAGAAGAAGAAGACTCTGGGGGCCTGCACATCCTCCTCACTGTCACCCCTGCGGGGCTCATGCTGCTCATCATTCTTGCTGCCCTTGGTTTCTTCTACAGCAGAAAGAGGTGATGACAAGCCCTGGATCCCACTTGTGTCACTTGGAGTCTTCACCTGTCCGTGCAGTGAGAGAGCTATAGATCAGGCAGCAGAAAGAACTTCCTCAGAGTCAGTGGCTCTTCCCTTAGAGAGCAAGGGGAGGCACACCTCTCCATTAGGGTGACCTCTCATCCTGCTTAGCTTGAGATGGCCTAGCTTGCAGAGCTGGGGATTTAGCTCAGTGGTGTAAGTGCCTGCTTGGCAAATGCGAGGTTGTGAGTTTGATACCCAGCTCAAAAAAAAAAAAAAAAAAGAGAGAGATGGCCTAGCTTTTAGCAAAACAAGTCCTGTATCCCCATGAAACTTCTTAGTCTGGGTACACTGGGACTTTCAGTTGCCAAGCTTTGCTCAAGCTGAGAAATAACAAAACATCCTGCCATGCAAGGGATGAAGCAAGAGACCTCAAGATGTGTCCTAGGACACTTGATACTAGATTTCTGTGGGACTGAAAGCAAGAGAAAAGTGGGCCATCACTTTGATTAACTGGATTCTGAAGACAACCGGAGGGGGCAAGAGACCTACTTCTGTGTCTACCTGTACCCTGCCTGTTACCTCCCAGGATGGGATCATAAGTACCTGGGAAATTATTAGGAGTTCTAGGGGGTGGTCAATAACCCTCTCCTCAACATATCCCTCTTCCTCATCCTCTGGCATTGCTCATTCCTTCCTGAGGACCCTTACAGCCTGACCCTTTACCCCTGTTGCAGAAATGGCACCCTATATACCTCTGTGAACCCGGAGTACCTCAGCGCCTCTGACAGTAGGTCTGGGGATGGGTGGACAGGGAATGTGGGAAGGGAGAAAAGAAAGGAGGAAAGGCCAACTTCTAGGGGATCTTTCTGAAGAGATGGCCTTACGACCAGAATGCTTCAGAAGTAGAGGCCAGGAGGGGTGGAGGAGTGACAGACAAAGCAGCTCCCAGCTTGTGACCCCCCACCTCTTCCCAGTGTACATCCCTGATGAATGGGAGGTGCCCCGGGAGCAGATCTCCATAATCCGGGAGCTGGGCCAGGGCTCTTTTGGAATGGTCTATGAGGGTGTGGCAAAAGGACTTGAAGCTGGAGAGGAATCCACGCCTGTGGCCCTGAAGACAGTGAATGAGCTGGCCAGCCCTCGGGAACGCATTGAATTCCTCAAGGAAGCATCTGTCATGAAGGCATTCCAGTGTCACCATGTGGTAAGGAAGTGTGTAGACAATGTCAGGGTCAGAATTAGGATACAAATCATGAAGTAAGAAGGAAAGGGTCAGTGAGGAGAGCAGGACATCACCAAAGTCAGGGTTGTGACTGTGACTAGGATTCTAATGGGACAGAAGCCATGGCTGGGGTTAAACAGGTTTGTGATAGGACCATGATAGGTTCATGGCTAGAGCTGAGATTGGTCATGATTGGGGATCATACTGAGTGTGTCCAGAGGGGTCAACGTCAGTCATGGTTGCGATGATAGATGTGGCCCAGTTTATGCACTGGGGTTGGGTCCGCCAGTCGTGATTCGTGTTATAGTCATGGTTGGGGTTAGGATCAGGTTGGTGTGCGATCATACTGTGGTCATAGTGGGTCACAGTTTGAGCCAGGTAGGTTGAAGGGGGATGAGTGCAACTGAAACCAAATTCTGTGTCGTCCATCCCAGGTGCGTCTCCTGGGCGTGGTGTCTCAGGGCCAACCAACTCTGGTCATCATGGAATTAATGACCCGTGGGGATCTTAAGAGCCACCTTAGATCTTTACGGCCTGAGGCAGAGGTGGGGATCAAGAAGACCCCTGGCCAGGAGGTTGGAGAGTTTGATGAAAAGACTTGAGCATGCTGTGGGTGAGAGGGCTATTCTTGGGTTGGGACAAAGAGGCTTCTTCACCAGCCCTTCTCTTGGCTCTAGAATAACCCTGGGATCCCACGGCCAGCACTAGGGGACATGATACAGATGGCTGGTGAGATCGCAGACGGTATGGCCTATCTAGCCGCCAACAAGTTTGTGCACCGTGACCTGGCAGCCCGCAACTGCATGGTGTCCCAGGACTTCACTGTCAAGATTGGGGGTACAGAGGGTCCTAGGCAGGTTGGGAATACAGAGGATGCCAGGCAGATGAGAGCAGCCTGAAGAGTAGAGATTCCCTTAGCTAGATACAGAGGCGTAGGCCTGGCCTGCAGCTTCTGGGTACCCTGTAAGAGCTTTGGCATGTCACCCACCCAGATCTCATTCCTCTTGTCCAAGGCAGAGGAATTTGGATGGAAGTCCTTTCAGCCTTCATGTTCCAGGATTCTTGGAGACTGTAAAAGTAGAAGGGATTGGCAGAGGCGCTCGGGGCAGAGTCTGATGGGGGATTCCCATAACCCTTCCACTGTCACCTTTCAGACTTTGGGATGACTCGGGATGTGTATGAGACAGACTATTACCGAAAGGGTGGGAAGGGACTGCTGCCCGTGCGCTGGATGGCTCCTGAGTCCCTCAAAGATGGAATCTTCACCACCCACTCAGATGTCTGGTAGGGCCTGTGGAACCAGAGGGCTGAGGGGATATGGAGGTGGCGTCTAGGGGAAGGCCTGGGCCACTCTCCTTCCTTGGGATGTGCTGAGTGGTCTGCTGGTGCTAGATTAAGGCCTTCCTTCATGTCCTCGTGTCCTCCAGGTCCTTTGGCGTGGTGCTCTGGGAGATTGTGACCCTGGCTGAACAACCCTATCAGGGCCTGTCCAATGAGCAAGTGCTCAAGTTTGTCATGGATGGTGGAGTCCTGGAGGAGCTAGAGGACTGTCCTCATCAGCTGTGAGTCATTCCAATTCCCTCCCTTAGCCCTTCTCTGACCATAGACCCTATGGACCATAGACCATGGACCCTATGTTCTGGTCCATCCTCTGAGGTTTCTGTATCCCCGGTCCCCAGCCATGAGCCCTCCATAGCTGAACTACCACTGTGTTCCCATTGACTCCCCTGAGGCACTCTCAGACATCATGCCCCAGGATCCCCTACTCCTACTGATCCTTCCAGTGCAGGACAAGGTGGTGTGGCTTGGGCCATGGGTCCCCTCTGATGCTGCCCTCACACTTACCAGGCAGGAGCTGATGAGCAGCTGCTGGCAACAGAATCCTCGTCTGCGCCCTACCTTCACGCAAATCCTGAACAGCATACAGAAAGAGCTGCGGCCCTCTTTCCGTCTCCTTTCCTTCTACCACAGTCCAGAGTGCCAGGGAGGCTGTGGCCTCCAGCCCACCACTGATGCAGAGTCCAGCTCCCCTCCAACTTCAAAAGGGGCTTCAGACTGCAGCCTGCAAAATGGGGGTCCGGAGCACTGAGGGATACTCACTTCCCCACTGCCTGGCCTCCCATGGGCATAGACAAAGGGAACAAGCTTTCCAGCTCAGACGGGGAATGGGGTGGCTAAGAGTGTGACAGAGGCTGGGGTGGGGGCAGCTCAGACTCCACGCCAAGGAAGCAGGTGAGCCAGCACAGGCAAAGTCACTAGACAACGGACAGGCGTTTACTGCCCCTAGAGAGCCTACCGCCGGCTTTGGATCTCCTGTGCACATCTGGGGCCGTCAACATACTTCAAAAAAGATGAGAGAACTGAGCCAAACTAGGAGGTCTCTCTGTCTGGGTACAGATCCCAGGGATGAGTGTCCACATCATTTCCTGTCCACCTTGGTCACCTCCTCCCCTCTGCCCTACACACTGCAAGTTGGGAGCCTGTGCTCACCCCTCCCTCTCCATTTGCCCCAATCAAGGATCCTGTGCTTGGTGCTCCTCCTCTCTCCTCCCGGCAGCATCCCTTGGTAATCATTCTTCCCTTTTCCCAGTCTCCCCTCATTAACAGCCTTGGATCGTTAAGGAATTTAAGAGCCTTGTCTTTCTCCCTCCCCTCGCCCACTACCACCCCCACCCCCTGCCTCTCAAAAGAAGACTGGAGAAGGCAAAATAAATGCCGAGGCCTCTGGGTACCCTGGTCTTGGGCAGCCCATTATCTCTCCATCTGTATGGCGTTAAGACCATATGAACTTCCTTTTTCCCTCCTTTGGGACTTGAGGTGGTGACCCTAAGGCGGTGATACAGGATAAATACGCTGCTGTCAAGCACCACATCCATGAGGACCGAGCAGCCAGGGTTGCCATGGCAGTGAGACACCAGTCTTGCAGTAATCCCTGCACACGGCCAGAAGTGGCTGAACCCAGCAGGGAAACTATATCTGGCCAGAGTCAACTGGTCACCTATATCTCATCTTTATTTTGTCCTTTGCTGTTTCTGGCCACTGGGCAGGCATTTCCTCCTGTGAAATCCACAGAGCAAAATGTGGAGTTGGGAAGGGTTCATATGACATCACCTGTCACGTCAGATCTCCTCCTGCCCAGGCTAGGGACACTCTCCAGAGCAGAATGTGTCTCTTTGTGATTATTCCAGTCAGCTGGAGGCTCAGAATGTCTCTCAAGCAGACTGACATGTTGTCACTGCCCTAGGAAACCAGGTTTTCTAGGCTTCTATGTCAGTGCCAGGGGACCTGCAGGTGCAGGTGGAGGGGAGAAGCAGAAAGGCTGGTCACAGCTCAGGACTTTTTTTTTTTTTTTTTTTTTTGTCCTCATGCTGGAATTAAACCTAAGGCCTCAAAATGTGTGACACCCATTAGCTACACTTGGCCCTCCAGGGCTCTTTAGTTTCCTGCATCCAGGTTTTTGGGGCTACAGCATCTAAGCTGCCTATCACCCACTGCCACATGCACTGAGCACCTTGCATACTGCAGCAGCTGACCTACATGCCATAGCGTTATCAGGCAGGGCCTGAGGGAATGGGACATGAATCTGGGCGAGGCCTAAGGTCAGTGTCTTGCAAGGACCACCTGTGTGGAGCCACTCCCTCCACGCTCTGCCCTTGACGGGCACTGACGACTGAAGCAACAATGACCCCTGATGGTTGATAGTAGAACTGCAGCTATGGGAGAAAAGGGAGGGGAGGTTCTTTCCGGGTCCCCAATCCCTTTTCTGTTGATGGTCTCTCTGAGGCCTCTGGGAGAATGGAAGGGACAGAACTCCTGACTGACAGCAGCCCTGGACCTGAGATGTGCACTCTCACACAAGGCACACTGGCACACCTACTCTTGCCCACATTTGGAGGAGGGTGCCCCCAACCCTCGTCCTGAGCACTGGCTATCAGGGAGGGCTGGTTACCTGCACAAAAAGGAGCTTCGGCAAGAAAGAGGGTTTCAGAAACTCTACCTAGGCTCCCCCTCCAAGGGGGGCCCAGAACTGAAATGTGATGCGGGGAAGCTCATAGATAAACTCTATTGCCATCCATGTTCCAGATAAGAAGTAGATTTGCTAAGGTAGCAAGCGAATTGGAGGTTGGACATCAGAAGGGATCTCCTCACATCCAGAGAAGCTGTGCGGGGGGGGGGGGGGGGAATGTGTATGCTCACTTAGGGACCGGTGGAGGCAGACAGGAGGTGGCCTGGGAGGGGGAAATGGGCACCTCCCACAGAGGAGAAAGCATAAATGCAGTGTCTAAGAGGAGGAGCCCCAAAACACCCTTCCCAGCCCCTCCTCACTTCCAGATCCAGACAGAACTCAAACATTAATAATTCAATAGCCTCCAGCTGGCTGAGGGTGGAGGATGGAGTAAGGCATGTCTACCATCTATCTCCTCAGAACTGTCTCTGTGGCTGGTGATAGGCCTAACCACCTAGGCAGAGTGTGCTGGGGGCTCTAGCCTCCAAGCTTGAAAACAACTGATGTGCCTTTGTAAAGGAAAGGAGGACAGGCTTCCTCTATGGCAAGAGGCATGGGGACCCAGGGGGTGGGGGATGGGGATGTCTGGGGTCAAAAAAGCCAGGCTTCAGTGGAAGCTGGACCAAGTCGGGCATCCACAGCCAGGTGTGGTGGTGTATCCCTGTGATCCCAGCACTCAGGAAATTGAGGCAAGAGGATTGCCATGAGTTTAAGGCCACCCTGGCCTATATAGTGAGTCTGAGGCCAACCTGTACTACATGGAGAGACCTTGTCTCAGAGGAAAAAAAAGAGAGAGAGCTGGGTGTGGTAGTACATGCTTGTGATCCCAGCATTTGAGAGACTGAGGCAGGATTGCCTTGAGTTTGAAATGAGACTCTGTCTCAAAAAAAAAAAAAAAAAAAAAGAGCGTTCACAGCTTTGATTCCTCTACTTTCTGCAGCCAAAGTGGTCCTTAGTTGTTCCTGCATGGGAGAAAAAAACAGAGTAGAACAACATGAGGGAGCAGCATCCCACTCTTGCTCTTGACCAAGTCCCCACCCAGCCATAACACTGTGCTCCTTCCACATCTTAGGGATCTTGGATGGGAGGCACCATGTCATAAGTGCTCAGGCAGCCCTCTCTGGAGGAGAAACTGTGGCCTTCTCCCAGCTTAGCTGGGAAAGTAGTGTAGAAAGTGGTTTTGAACGCTGTGGAAGTTCTAGCTTATGAATGGTTTTCCTTCTCTAACTTTCTGCTGCAGACTAAGGACAAAACAGACATTGGTACATGATCACAACCCACAGCAAAAAACTTCCTCCTTCCAGCCAGAGCTCCCATACACAACCCCAAAGGGGTACACTGCCTGCCCTCAAACATGAGATGAGAATTGTGGCTTCCTTCTATCCCAGAGAAGCTGCCACTATGAATTCTGATACCCTTTATTGCCTAGGACTCAGGGACTTATATCAACCAAAGTCAGTTGCTGGGTATTTGCCATGAAATTGGGTCATTCGGGTCATGATTGAGTGACCATTAGGGTAGCATCATTCCCCTCTGAAGCGGGTAGAAGATGACTTTGAAAACAATCAGGTGGGAGTCACGCCATGTGTGGGCTGATACCAGCCCTCTCCTGTAGTCTGCACCATTCATGGACCCCAGGGGATGAGAAAAAGAAGTCAACAAGAAGCTAAGACCTCCTGTGAGTCAGCACCATGGACAGACTGACTAGGGAGAGCCATATGCCAGCCCTTCCGACACATGGGCAGGCAGGGAGACAGGAAGAACCAACGTTCCTCCCTACCTTGCCCCCGTAAGCTACTGCCTGATCCAGAGATGATGATAGCTAATGAGGTAAAATACAACTTAATGCTTGTAGGGTTCAGTGTTTCACTGACTTTGCAGGCTTAAAGCTGATAGTCTGGGGGCTGGGGATTTAGCTCAGTGGCAAAGCGCCTGCCTTGCAAGCAGGCAGTGGTGAGTTCGATCCCTGGTACCGATAAAAAGGAAAAAGACAAAAAAAAAAAAAAAGCTGATAGTCTGATCATCTATTCAGAGGATAACAATACCAATGTAGCATCTATGGGGGATCTCCTGAAGGTCTTGGCCATTGTTAATTCTCTATTATCTTATTTCAAAATCCTGTATCATTCTCATTGTTTTTTGATTGGTTTTATCTTGTTTGGTTTGATTTTGTTGTATCTAATAACACAGACAGATATTTCAAAGATAACAAGATATACTATGGTAGCCATTTTGGATTTACTATTGTCTTGTTCCGAAGTCCTGTATTGCCTTCATTGTTTTTATTGGTTCTATTCTGTTTCTGTTTTGTTTGATTTCACTATGTATGAAGGTGTAGGCAGTTATATCGAAGACAAAAAGCATTATGGTAGCCATTGTTTATTTCCTGTTCTTTTCTTTCAAAATCCTGTGTCATTTTTTTTTAATCCTATGTCATTTATTCTGTCTTGTTTCAATTGGCTTTTTTGTTTTATTTTGCTTGGTTTTATTCTCTCTAAAGTAAAATTTAAAAATGAAAGAAGACAGGCAAGTGGGATCTGGGAGTAAATTCAGACCAAGCATACTTCAAAGAACCCAAGGCAGAGCCAAAATGGAGGGTACGTCGTGACTTTGAGGGACTGTGAGGGTAGAGGTACTTGATGAGCCTTGATGCAGTCAAAGCAGACTTTAGGCAGAGGGTACATGGTGAACCTGTACACAGTCAGGACAGATAATCATGATGGTCACAGTCAGGGCAGAAGGCAATTAATTATCTCCAGTTCAATCAGAGCAGAGGAGCCTTGGAGAGCCCCAAGGCATAGTTTAGTGCTTGGGGTACTAGTGATCTCATTCACAGTGAGAGCAGAGGGTGCTTACATGTTGCTCTGCACATTCAGGGCAAAGTGCAGTTGGGGATCCCGGGTTACCTGCTGAAACCAAGTTCTCACCTCCATTCGGTGTTGCCAGAAGCAAATCTCTTCAAAGGGGCCAGAGATCAAGAACTTTCATGATCTTGCTGCTCATGTCCAGGGTGCCATGGGCAAGCATTCCAAGGGGGCAGGAACACTCCAGGAGAGGGGTGAGTGTGACCCGCAGGTCTGGACCCTCCTCGGTTCTGAGGCGTTTCTCTTTCCTAAGCCGGGAGGCCCAGGCCCTGCTTCCTCCTGCCCCTCTTTATGGTGGGGAGACGGGGCGTCCAGCCTGGCCCCTGACCCTGAGTTGCAGCCTTCCCTCATCTTCCTTGTTCCCACCACACAGAGCAGCAGGAGGGATGGGGCAAGGGAACTAAGGTCCCAGCACCAAGAGTCAGCACCAGAGCTTCCCGCCTCTCTCCCCACCCTCTGGAACACAAGGCCATTGTCAGATATCAGAGAGGGATGGGGCTGGAGAGGAGAGGAGACGGGGGTGTGGAAGAGAGAGATGGGCATGCCCACAGCAGTGGGACTTTGAAGACACTGGGGCTTCGGGCCCACCCCAGCCCCTTTGATCTATGTGGCTTTGGCCCCCAACACTCCCTTCTTGTGAGCAACAGCAGTGAGACTTTGCTCAGTCATTTCCGGACTCGAAGTAGGGAACCCTTGCTGGAGGAGCAGAGGGCCCACGTATCTCACCTCGAGGGTGTGTCAGGCATGTCCTTGCAAGAACCAGACAGGAAGGAGGTGGACACAGGTGCAGGGAGAGAGAAGACAGAAGAAAAGGAAGTCCGAGGAGATCAGAGTGGAAGGCAGGAAGAATGTCTGAGGCTGCTCAGAAGGCTCTGCAGGAAAGTGAGAAAGGACAGGGGAGGTTGATGCTGGGTCACACAGGAAGTGGAGCTGGAGGAGGGGCCTCCTCCCCCTAACCTCAGTCCCTGTAAACCTTTACCACTGAGGAAGCACGACTGTGGGACCAGGGTGGGAGGCGCAGGCAGATAGGGTGGCCTCTTTGGGAACTAGCAGCTCCTAAGTGAGGAACCTCATGCAGGAAGCGTTGCCGAGTGCTTTGTAAGCTGTGGAGCAAGATACAGATTATTGTCATCATTATCTAATTGTGAAAACTTTTAAAAGATGCTGCAGCAGTATATTTGGACACACACAAGGATGACCATGACGACCTGCAGAGTGAGGAGTAGACTACAAATAATGTAAACGGTGCCATTGTTTACATTCACATGCACAAACTCAGAAAAGTGTCTGGAAGCATGGATATGCATCTGAATGATGGGACTGTGAATGATTTGTGGCTTCTTTTTGCTTACCTATATTTTCTCCGTATGTTTTTTAAAGAACATACATTATTCACACAGTGAGAAACAAGAAGTTTGCTTTTAAAAGAATAAGCTGCTGCCCAGGGGCCGAAGTTCATGGCTTAGGATGGGTGAGG